GGGGGGGGGGCTTGGACTTGGGAAAAGGAAGAAAGATGTTTGCTAGTTTGTTATGTACGCGCATACGTCTACCACACTAATCAAAATTGTGTTCGTCGTCGTCACGCAGCAATAATAATAACAAATGATCTGGCACCCACCAGGCCACCACCCCATTGGTTGGAACTTGGGACCACAGACAGTCCAGCCCTTTGTTTGTGACTAATCGTCGTCGAACTGGCGTTCACACTCATACAACCCAGATGGTGATAACCATCATGGGCACGGACGTGGCTCTCATCAGCTTTCTCGTCTATGGTCCATCTTCTCCACCCCCTTCACTCACTGCACACCCACTTGCGTTATGGCCGTTTCATTAGTCCACATCACCCAAAGTAACAACGTCACTATCCTGGATCAAAATTCAAATCTTCAACACAGGTCGGGGTGTATGTATCGATATGATACCCCCCCCCCCCCGGAAACCCTAAATAACGTGTGTTTTAGATTTTGACCAGTTTCAGGTGTGTAGACCTTAAACTAAGCCAGAAGCAATTCTGGAAAAAAAATAAAAAAAAAAAAGTTATCAGTTATCGAAAACACCCTGTTTATGCATATCAAATGCATCAATAGTTTGAACGTTGCCCTGGATTTCCATGCGAGAGATAACAGAACAATGAATGGAACTAAGGCTTCATTTGGTCAATCAGGTAATTGACCATAACCCCTGCATTCATATACCATTATAATGGATTCCACGATAAGCGAAACTTTCAAAGAATACCATTTATCTGATTAACTGATACCTTTCTGGAGAGTGGATGAGTTATTTATCCGCACAGTTTATGCTCTCCCCTTCCTCTCTATTTATCAGAGTAAGTTACATCGCACAGAAATCGAACTTAATTAGACAATTTTTACCTAAAAACACTTGTCTGGATAAATTCACTTACATGATAAATTAAAACCAACAGAGCCTAAGGCCTTTTTCTTCTTTTCTTTTCTTTTTTTTTTTCTTCACATCTTGTGAACCATCCCAAGTGTGAATAAGATAGTGAAAGGTCATTGGGTGAGTTGATTAAATAAAGTAATCAATTCACCCAATTGTATTGTTCTTTGATTAAATAAAGTACCTTACCTTTTACAAAAAATAAAATAAAATAAAAAGAAAGGTCATTGGGTGAATGGGTGGGCCATGTCTACTATAATAGGGTGTATTCAGAAATATACTGCTGCTTGTCTCCGAACGTCCATGCTGTTGCCTTCATACAGTTAATTTCTATTCTTCGCTTTTCTTTCTAATTTCCAAAAAGAAATTTGGAATATCAGGCGCGTTTAGGAATCAACTTAACTGGTTTCGAACTTCATCAAGTTCAGGTCATGACCACATCCACGACTATACGACGATTTCCATGCTCCAGCAATCCCTGATGTATGTTCTAACCATCTCTATTAAACTTCTACACTCCTTACTGGTAAAGATGAAGCTTTGTGCTAAGCAATTTTAACCATCCAATTGGTCGGTCACCTATAGAGTAGGGCATAAGCCACATCCACAAAATTTACCGACCCTACGACCAACCACTATAAACCCTTGTATTACAACCATCCAAAGATCAATCTCTTTGCTGGATATGTGGATGGTTGAACTCACGACTGACCAACATGAACCTACCCATCTTCATTATCACTATCACTAATTCACTATACAGATGAAAGAGAAGGAATAACGAATATATGAACATTACGGACGGAAAGGTCACTGTATCCTGATATATTTCAGCTTTGATCTCGCCATTCAAAACCAAAAGGTTCTACTTTCTTCTCCTAATGTTCAAGTATTGGTTCTGATTGTCAAGAATTTTGTCTTGATTAAGTTAATTTTATGTCGTTACTTTCCAAACTGAAACCGGCCTTGAGAAAATGTTATTGACTGATCTAGAGTCTTCTTCTCTGACTATTACAAACACGCCTTAGTCAAGGTATTGATAACTACTTTCCCGCCTGGAAACCAAATAATCCCCTCCTTGGGATCTGTGGCCTCCAAAATTCACACCATATACTTGGACAATTCGGGTTTACAATAAATGTCTGGACTAATTTCAGAATGGAGTATGGTCTACAGTAGGTTATGATCTAGAAATAAGAACTCAAATCTGGATGCACATGCACTCTACATAGCTAAGAAACAAGAAATCCGCTAATTTCCAATATCAAATCTTCCCTAAGAAAGATTTTCAATAGATGTTGTAGAAAATTACAACAAATTAAATGGTTGACCATCATTCTATCGTATGCCATTATTTTGTCAATCTGATCATGTTTGTTTTTCAGGTATTAGAAATGTCTTCAGAAGGCCAAATTCAGAGGTGGCTCTATGCATGTAAAACTAGTCTAGATTTATACCGAGGTGCCTATGCTTTTTTTATCAGTTCCGAGGATCCTGCGCCTTCTGCATGGAAACCAGAGTCAAAGACAGTCTCCCTTTAGGTTTTCATGCCACCAATAATACAAGGAGTTGTTGTCATAAAGGCTCAGTTTGCACTGGTGTAATTGTGTAAATGCAACCTCCAGATCTGCTACCCACAAATTGATCCCATAGAACACCACCAGTGTATTAGGAACATCTCCCCATGAATGACAAGGGAGTTCCAATGCATTACTGTAATTACTCTTGGGTAGGGATGTGGGAACAACTTGCGGATAGCAGATCCGAGCCCATAAATGCATGGGGCTGAGTGTAAATTCAGGCTTACTTTTGCTTTAGATTTGACTGTTTATTTGGTTGACTTGTGAGAAGCAAAATTGGAAGCAGTCCTATATGAAAGAAAATGGAAATGAGTGGAGTGAGATAGGAAGCAAGATGATGTATGTCCCTACTTTATATAAGAGAGAACTGAGGTAGGAGGAAGGTGGTGCAAATTTTGCATTAGTTTTTAGAATGCAAATTTTGCATTACCAGTGAGTGCGAATGAGAAAAAAAATACAGCTAAACAGCAGATGCAAAATTGAAGGGAGTTCAAAATTTGTATCTAATTCAGATTTGCACTCCAAACAATCAAAGGCCAAAGGAGTGTTGCTTGTTTCATTTTGGGTTTGAGGTGCGGTAATTTCCTTTTATCAATGGAGTTCGACTATTGCAAATTCAGTAGATGGGAATAGCTTTTTAGATGCCTATGATGGTATTCTGAATTGAACTGTTTCTTGTTTTCACCCCCGTTTTCTTGATTCTTTTCCTTACCCGTTGTTTATGCTCACCGATAAAAGAATGACTAATGCAGATGGATGCTAATGTTGAAGCCCAAAAAGATGAAGAAAATTGCCCTGGTGATTTCAGTGCCATGCTTGTTGCATTTTAACTCCTGAAGATCAAGAAAAAAATAAAAAAGATAACATCTTTCTAGAAGGGCAGTTTTATATTACATTTGTGTGTATCTTATAAACTAAAGGGGTGTTGAACATGGTTGGTCAAAAACAACTACCACATCAGCAAAAACAATATAATTTTGCCGATGTGGCAGTTGCTTTTGTATTCAAAAACAAAACCCATCATGTTATTGAACACCCCCTCCCTATGACACTTTTCCGCATAAAATAAGCTTCTAATTATTATCACTAGAAATCATAGTTCATAAAGAAGTGACCAATTACATTAATTACAAAACATATGTCTCAAGAAAAAGATATCAGAGTTATAACACCTGTGGGAAAGGTATCAGAGTTTCTAATTATTATGAGACTTCACCAAGGCTTAGTACGTGGCCCTTATTTATTTGCACTAATCATGGATAAATTGACTAAACATATTCAGAAGGAGGTCTAGTGGTATTCGTTGTACAGAATACCTTAAAAACAAAATGTTTCAAAATAAGTAGAGGACTGAACAGAATATATGCAATGTCAAATAAATTAACAATAATAATGAGTGGAAATCAGGGTACACTTGGGATTGTAGACCAAGAGATATTTTAGTGTAACCTCTTCTGTTACCTTGGTTGAGTAATCCATAACAAGAGATTTAGGAGGATGTCACTGTTAGAATTAGAGCAGAATGGGCAAAATTGAAGGTGCATCTCAACTCTTGTGTGATAGGAGAATACTACCTAGGGTAAAAGGAACATTTTATAAAATAGTTATAAGGCCAGTAGTATTGCATGGAGTAGAGTGCTGGACAGTCAAGAAACAACATGAACAGAAAATGGGTGTGGCAGAAATGTGAATGTTGAGATCAATGAGTAGGAAAACTAGAAAACATAGGATAAGAAATGAGCCTATTTGAAGGAACCTAGGAGTATCTAACCTAACAAAAAGAGGTATCTAGGCATAGCTCCAATACAATAAGTGATTTGGGTACATGCAGAGAAGACCATCTAAAGCAACAGTAAAAACTAAAAAGTAATCTATTACAAGTTTAAGGGGCTATAAGATCTAAAGGGTAGAGAAGACCATCTAAAGCAACAGTAAAAACTAAAAAGTAATCTGTTACAAGTTTAAGGGGCTATAAGATCTAAAGGGTAGACCAAAATGGACATTTGTTGAAATATAGTGAGAAATGATTTAAGGGCTCATAATTTAATGACAGATATGGCATTGAACAGCATAGAGTGGTAAAACAAGATTCATGTAGCCAACCCCATATAGTTAGGACAAGATTTAGATGATGATGTAATTACAACTCAATAGTCCAAAGTTCCCTTTGCCGTAGCCTGGCTTTTGTGAGAGGAACAAATTTTAAGCACTTTAGAACATTTATTGTAAAAAAATAAAAAAAAAAAGGTAGGGGATAGATTCAGAACCACACTATACTATTGGAAATCCATGTGACAGCTTTTAAGAATGTTGGATTTTGGATTTTGTCACTCTGTTTGGGGATGGAATCAATATATATAACCTTGGCCTTTCTGGGTTCTATTATTATACAAGGAAATATACTTGAGAGGTGCCTCTTTGAATGTAATCCATATGAGGTTTTCCCCTTCCTACTACAATACATATTAATACAATACAATATCTTACAACACTAATCCAAAAGACTAGGAAAAGGTCGAGATTTCGTCCACAGTTTTAATGTGTAACTACAGTTTGCACAAAATTGTGAATGCTTAACACTATGAGCACCGGGATAATTATCAGCTAGATTATTTGGTTTCCATGCATATAAAATGCATAATTGATTTTGGTTTTCATAGTGAAAGGAAAGAATTTGGTGTTTATTCTTTTACTGAAACCTGAACGTTCTTGGAAGCTCAGCTCCTATTCAAATTTAATTTAATAAGTGTTCATAAAATATTAAGATATTAAAAAAAAAAACTTAAGAAGTCACCCTGAAACTTCTGTGTTTGGGAGATGGTGGCTCAATTATGCTTTTGTTCCTTCTTAAATCTATCCCTATTTTCGCTAAAAAAAAATCTATCCCTATTTTCTCTACTCTGTTCTTTTTTGAAACTTCTGTGCTTTGCTATTTCTCAAAGTCCATTTTTAGGGGAGGTTAGGCACCTTATCCATAAAAAAAGAAAATATCTCACTATTATTGGATGAACCACTTATAATTCTAAGATATCCAAACCAAAACCCTTCAGAAGAGAAGTTTAGGGTGAGAATAGCATGAACTTTTAACACTAGAAAAACAATGTAAAAGAAAACCATTTCTGAAAGCATGATTCAACCATGAACCTCCAGCGTTAGAAAAGGAATGCTACAAATTATGTGTTAATGGAAATAAAGCAAAATATGCACAACGACAAAGATTTGTAAGATTGCTGCATTGAACCATATAGATTAGCTCTTGAAAAGTTTGACTAAGGGATACTTTTTTTTATTGGAAACGGTTTGGCTAAGGGATACATCGGTAGACATCTTTCTGCAGCATATGTTTATTGGGTGTTTCTCCCCACCCCCCTCCCTCCCACTTAAGGAAATAGGATTTTGTATCTTTGAAACAGAAAACTAATTTAATAAGAAACAAGTTGGAAGTTATTTTGAATGACAGGAGGCCTAGAAATATCCAAAAATTACACTCGACCAAGGATACCCTTTCATATTCATATGATATACCAAAATCATATCATGCAATTAAAGTGCATCTCTCTAAATATTGAACATTAAGATGATGCCTTATGGAGTATAGAGCATCTCATCATTTTTCTTGCTCACATAAAAAATCCTCTTTATTTTCCTGTCTTAAGTCTCAAATGGGTATTAATTACATATAACAATAAAAAAACTAGGTATAAGTACATGTAGAAAATGTGGTTTTTTGTGACAGTAGAAAATCTATTGTAGGGTTATTGTTATCATTTTAACTGTTTTAGTTAAATGGTCAAAATATTTAGAGAAATGTTGTAATTACAAACCGAAAAAAGGAAGAGAAAGAAAACAGAAAAGAGAAACACTTATGAAAAATAATCTGAGAACTTATTAGAAAATACTACACAATTTCATCTCCCATGCCTACATTTCTGGTCATGTAACAAATAACTTTATTAAAAGGACCAGACGGCTACATTTGACTTTATAAAGCATGAGCATGAATTAATACATCTACTGCACTGCATTAATGCAGAGAAGCCTTTACAGCAATCACACAACTTTCTTGTAAAATTGAATAAATTACCTCGATTTGGTAGAGAGGCATCTAGAGCATGGGAAGAGCTTAAGTAATGAACGTGACCTCCTTGTCCTCACCTTCAAACGTGAAAGCTGCAAAGTATTGACATCGCTTGAGAACAAAATAAATATATATATCACATGAAACTGCTCATCAGTTAAATATATATCGTGCTGAACATTTCATCTATTTTCTATCATGTTTCATGTCTAAAACTACATCACTATATCTTAGCAAAGCAAGCCATAATAGTGAATTATGGTAACTTAAAATACTGTCCAGTTGTCCAGCTAGTGGTTATCTTAAGCCATAATAGTGAACTATGGTACTACTGGTATGGCAGTACCAATCATAATAGTAAAGAGAGTAACATATAAGCTGTTCAGACAGAACTAGTGAAACGTTTACTCCTTAAAGTTAAAAGACAAGGAACCTTAAAGCAGGAGCATCCACAGAAAAGGACAGCTGCTTAGGAGTCTGTACTCACCTTTTTCTGGATGGACTTGGGAATGCAAGTGGATCAGATCGGATTCGAATAACGGTATATCCAAATACGATCCAACAGTACAAACAGCAGATCCGATTGGATATCACAAACACAGATTCGAATTTGAATCTGTTAATAACGTCAGATATCCAAATATGATCCAATCCGATTTAATTTCTAAAAATTTTTTAAAATGTAACAGTTTATATAAAGAAAAAATAAAAAATATATATAAGTATTTTCTTCAACTATTTTTAAGAGTCTGTACTCACCTTTTCTGGATGGACTTGGGAATGCAAGTGGATCAGATCGGATTCGAATAACGGTATATCCAAATCCAATCCAACAGTACAAACAGCAGATCCGATTGGATATCACAAACACAGATTCGAATTTGAATCTGTTAATAATGTCAGATATCCGAATATGATCCAACCCGATTTAATTTATAAAAATTTTTAAAAATGTAACAGTTTATATAAAGAAAAAAAAATATATATATAAGTATTTTCTTCAACTATTTTCATCATATGTATACATTTGTTTTTATAAAAATAAATAAATAATATAAAAATACAAAAATGCAATATAAACATATTTATAAATAAATAACATATATATCGGATCAGATCTTTTCGGATCAGATAGGGGGGGCTGATTCGAATTCAATCGAATCCATTATCCAATCCAAAAATCTGATAAGGGTATATCCAAATCCGGCAAAATAGGATCGGATTTCGGATCATGATCCAATCCATTTGCACCCCTAGATGGACTGTTTTATTTTCTGCATGGGTCCCTGGTGAAATAGGGGACTAATTAGCATTTTTTAGTAAAGGCAGCGCAGTGCACGACAGCACAAGGCTCCCACCAATGCATGGTCTGGGGAGGGACAGATGTAGGCAGCCTTGCCACTGCACACACAGGCTGTTTCCAAGATATGAACCCTGGTCACCCAGGTTGCAATGGATGAATTGAGCAACCCAACTGTTGCACCAAGGTCCACCCCCTTAATTAGCATTTCTTAGTCCAGGACATTATTTTTATTGTACAATAGAAGCTTCTATTATTCTTCAAAAAGAAAAACATTTTTCCCTTAAGGAAATTGTATGCAATGAGAATTTTATTCAAAAAGAAGGAAAGAAAGATCTCTAGCAAATTTTGAGCATTACCTGTCAAAAATTACGGAAATCCCCTTCTAAGTTGATATTCGTTTTGAACAAAACAAACTGAAGATTCAGATTCAACAAAGGTTGTACAGCCCAAATAGTTGAAACTAGGCAGTGATGCCTATATATATATATATATATATATAGGCATAACAATTTGATTCTGGATCACCAAGCAAAAAAAAAAAAAAGGGTCGTCTCCTGCCAATTCTGTAAACTCCCTCAGCTCAATTAAGCTTGATTTAGCTACAAAAATCCTCTCCAGCCTTCCAATCTGTCTTGTCTCATATCCTCTATTTCATGATAATGCAATATATCATATCCAGTGAATTCCATAAAATCAGCTTGGACTGAGGCAGTATACATTTTAAAAAATCGCTTCAGAAAAGGTTATATGCATGTTCCTAACCAGATGAAGCCTCCTTTACGCCGAGAATACAAGCAAAACTTGAAGACAAGTGAATTTCATTCATGGAAAAACAGAAATATACAAGCAAGAAGGATCCCAAGACAAGAAACAGTTGCTCAAAATCTTAGAGCATCCAATGGTTCAGGACAATTTCACACCTAACAGATATATACAATTATACCATAGAAGCATTACCTTCCCTCGAGTTGCTCTACATGCTTTCCAGCAAAGCAAGCTTCTTGACCTAGGTTCCAATCTCCTGTAAAGTTAGGAAAATCAGATGCAAGTTTAGATTTAATGGAGATTATGTTGAATACTAAAACACAAAGAATTCAAATGCAATTCTAAAGAATACACAGTTTTTTTTTTTTTTCTGAGAGCATGACCCCTTAAATGATGATCATCAATTCTGCTATCTCATGAATTTAGATTCATCCCATCATACCATATGAGAATGCTCCTTGTCATGGCATGAAAACAGTTCAAAAACCAAATAATTTTTCAGACACAATTATGTAATTCAAATATGTTCTGTAAAATACCACCTTCCATAAAATTAAAAGAATGAGTACCAACAAAAATACACGGAAAAAAACAACATAGAAACACACAAGGTGAGCTCAACATTTTAGAGTTGCTTCCTACAAAACTCACAGCCATGATGTCCTTCGCTAGTGTATGGGTTGTAAAGTAAAAAAAAGGGGAGAGAGAGAGAGAAAGAGAAGGAAGAAGGGAAAACTAAAACTGAAACTCCAGACAGCTAGTCAGCTACAGTTATAGCTTACTCAAAAATACCATTTCTCATATCTTTTGTTATTAACAATTGTTATTTCTGTCCATTAAAAAATAAAATAAGACACATGGAAGTATTCTGGATGATACATGGACAGTATATATTTAGCGGATTGATAATGTAACAGTAGCTAATTTATCTAGCCAACAACAAGGTTCATTTAAAACAAAAAATTATCTCAAAGAATATGGTATTCACCATTATTTTTCAGAAATTACTTTTGCAGGTTAAAATTCTTGAGAAATAACAAATTTTCCAAATAACAAGGTAGGTGCAACCAAAGTTACAACAGTGCCCCCATGGATAGGGTCATATTTCTCAAAGCACAATGTGACTCCACTCCTCGTTGACAAGAGAAAGGATCTGATTCAAATCATGCTCTCTAAATCTCTAATATCCATAATCCTATACCAGAGGGAATGACATACAAAATGGTTTATCAGAGATGGCATAACAGCCTTAATTTCATTGTATAGTTTTGTCTACAAAATATTGGAGCTAAAGCCTTTGGCCTGCAAATATTATTTATTTATCTTTTGACAAGTAATGGCCTGCAAATATTATTGTCATATTTTAGCTCAGACAACAAGCATAAAAATATAGCAAACAAAATAATCCTGGAAATAACAATGGCATAGCACTACGTACAAATTCTCTTGTTCAAGCTTTTCAGCAATAGACATTGCCTTGCGTCTAGACCATCCACTTCGTTGAGTACATCCTTCTGCCTGTTGAATTACATGTGCAAGGGACACCTTGCTTCTAACTAAGCTCTGACTCTGAGATTGTTCTCCAAATTTCCTTCTTTGTGAACCCAAAGTAGATTTCTGATGTGCATATTCTGTTTGTCCTACCAAAGTACTTCCAAAATTTCTTTCACCATACTGTCCATTATTATCTGTATGCTCAATTTTCTTGGTTTCCCTAGGAGAAGCAACTAGTTCAACAATTTCACTCGTTGCCATATCAAGGGAAGGGAGTAGTAGTTTGTTTTGACTAGAACCAACTCCTTTGACAACTCTGTCCTTTAAAATCTTTCTACCGTTGTTGTCATTTCCGGTTTTTGGCATCCTGTCATTGGATACAGAATCTGGCTTTGTCATCATCTGAGAGGAACCATCCTTGGATGCTGGTAAGATAAGAGGAACTTGAAGCCCCGCTCTTGCATCTTTCCTTGATTCACATCTGATTTCCAGTATCAGTGGGGATCCAAGAGTAGCTTCAAATGCTTGTAAGATATACCCTCTGAACTTTTCTGCCTTGGATTTAGTCAGAGGTGAGCTGAATATCAGCTGCACAGTTGGAGCTGTAAGAAAAATTAATCATTCAATCAATCAGAAGCCCTTAACATAACTAAAACAGTAGTAGTACATGTTAATAAATATGAAAGTTACATTTAGTTGAATCAGGGAATAAAAGTAAGAGGAAAGACACTAGGTCTCATATCAGTTACTAAAACCATTGACTGGTTCAGTCATAATGGATCACATTGAAGGAATGAAGTAGAGTGCTTAAAGCAAGCAGTTTCATGCAAATAATTCGTACCAAAAGAATCACAAAGCCAAAATTCTCCCAATTGCCAAATGACTTGATGTACAAGTTAAGCAACTGGTTTACCAGATCCCAATCCCAAGCCCAATTTTTACATATATTGGGTTATGCCATACATTGAGCCTAATCGATGGATTAAATATTTCTTTTTGAAGGACTAAATAATCCAACATATGCAAGAACAATGTAAGTATTGATGCTCTTTTTTCTTGATAAGCAGCACAAAGTTCATTAAATTAAAACCTCATAGAATTAATGTTGAAAGGAGCCAATGATAATAATGAATCTGAATATAAACAAGAGAATTACCTGCACCAAAACTGACTGAAACCAGCTTAGCTTCTTGGCACATGAATTGTTTCAGAGCATTATTTTGAATTTTCTCAAGCACTGCTAACCATATTTCATCAATTGTCTTGCGGCCTTTCCCTGAAGCATGCTCTTCACTTACCCTACCAAAGTCCATAGACAATGCAGATATGCACTGTGGACTTCTCCCAGCATATCTCTTTCCACCTGTACCATAACCTTTAGTCTTGGCACTGTTGCAAATAGCATCATCAGCACTTCCACCATGGTTGTCTAACCTAATATTTGAAGACAAACCTCTATCATTGTTAGGAATCTCAGCATTCTCAATATTACCATTCCTTGCCAAATCTCTCCCAGCAGTATTGTTTAGGGCCAAGGGACTATGGTTAAAACTAGTTTCAGCAGAACTAGGTAACATATACTGTTGGTCAGGAGCAAGTTGAAGCAATGCAGCTGTTAACCATGTTAATTTGTCATTTGACATTCTCAGTTGTTTTTCAGCCTCAGATAATGTTTTCAGAGCTTGACGCAGCTTTTCCATGTCTTCTTTTGATACTGAAATTGACACATCATATTCCATCAGTGAGTCGGAAGGAGAAGAGACAAGAAACAGTGATTGTGTTGGACTTTAAAAACCAAGAAGACCCATAAATCAAGCGACCTAAGAGTTGTTATTGCAACAGAAAGAGAGAAAAGAAAGACACTTGAAAACCATTTTTAGATCTCTTAGTTCATCATCAACATCCAAGCTCATGGTCCACAATATTGACGAGATTTGGCAAATTTCTCCAAAATTTCCCCCATTTTACTATGTGGTGATACATAATTTTCCAAGAATCTTCCTTCCCTAACATCTCTGTTATTTTGACGATATTTCGGCAATATTTCAGATTTCATTGATAGATTATATATTTAAGGTTTCAAATTTTAGAATATTATTATAAATTTTCAATTTTTTCATTAAAATCATCATAATTTTTTAAAAATCTTTTTTCTAAAAGAACAATTAGGGATTCAATGATTAGATGATTGGCTTGCTATTTTAATAATGATTAATAAGTCACTATAATTCAAAGGGAAAAGATAAAAGGCACACAAGTACAAAAGAGGATTATCGATCTAATCAAAACATATAGTAACAAAAAGACAAACCTCAAAATGGCAAGTAAATGGAACTATGGTGCCTAAGTTGGTAAGTTCTCTAGCTAATTATTGCAAAGACTAGGGATCAAATTTTTTCTCAAAAAAAAAAAAAAAAAGACTAGGGATCAAATTCCATTGCCTCCAAGGTTGGGGAGGTTATGGGTATGGGGGGGACCGGCTACCCCACCCTCCTGTTGTGTAGCACGAAGCCAAAAAAAAGTACAGTTGGTTGCAAAATATCGAAACAAGAAGGCAAGTAAAAGGCATGCATAGGGAACAGAAGATAGCTAAAAGGAGAAAGAAAGATAACTTTTTCATAAAGGTGAATGAAATTTCAGGGTACAAGTAACCTTCTTTAACGATGGAGGAGGAGAAGAACTTCGTGGAGGCAAATCGATGGAGAAAGTACCTCAAGGTGGAGGTGAAGAACTTTCTGTTAGAAGAACTAAGAATCAGAGGACAGATTAGCTTGAAAATCAGGGAAGATAAGCAGGCCACGGTGATGTTGGTAGGACTGAAAGTGGTGGAGTGGCTCACAGATTTTGTAGCCGCAGCGAGTACAGAAGGAAAGGATAGGTGCTGGAAAGAATTCCTAACAGAGATGGGAAGGAGGTATGTGGTGGAATGCAGGAAAAACAGAATGGTGAGAACTATATTCCATGGGCCAAGTCGGTAGAAGTTTTTCTTAAGGCAAAGAGAAAAGTGAAGCATGTGAAAGAAGATAAACCACCGKCTGACTCTCYAGGGTTTGATGATTGRGAACAGGAGGATGCTCAAATCATGACATGGCTATGGAACAATATGGAACCCAAAATAAGTGCCAACTTCAGCTAAGGACATATGGGAACATGCCAAGAAGCTGTATATCAGCTCTATCAGGAGTACTTTGGTCTGCAACAAGGAAATAAAACTCAATGTCTATCATTCTCTCACTCCAGATGTTAAGGTTCAGCAACAACAGAGGGAACAACTAGATGTCACAAGGTTCTTAGTGGGGTTGAAATYAGAGTATGAACCAGTTAGGGCCCAAATATTGGGGGGCTCTACCCTTCCTACACTTGAGGAAGTGTTTGCTCGGCTTCGCAGGATTTCTTTGG